AAAATAAATCCTTATATAATTAAGAAGAAATAAATATTTTGTTAAGCGAATTAAAATTCTTAAACTATGATACGTTTTCTTCTGTTTACAGTTACTTATTCTCTATTAACCTTTATTTAAATTTATAATTTTTATTAAAATTTTCATTTAAAATTTTTATTAACCTTTTCTAATTTAGACTTCCTTCATTTTTTCCACATAGGCTTACAGCTTACTCATTTCCAAACCGTAATTTTAAAATTTTTAATCTAAAAATTTCTTAAATTCAATATTTCAATCCTTTCTTTCTATTTAAAATTTCTTTCTATTTTATTATTAATTCTTTCCTTCATTTTAATCTTATTAAAATTTGATTAAATTACTCAAAGATAAGGCATCGCACTTTTTCATTTTCACTATAATCTGCAAATTTGACTTCCCAAAAAAACTGGTTTCAGATAAAATACACTGTATGTAGGCTAAATATCGGCCGAATCGAAATATTCAGAAACAAGTTCATCAGCTACCTAAGACAAAATAATAATTGACATAAAAAAAAATATTATCAATAATACCATTTAATGAGTAATACAGTCAATAATTTTAAGTCTTATATCATGTTTTAGAATATAGACAGAACTTCCTTACAATAGTCACAGAAGCAGATAGATAAATCAGCAGGAAAGCATCTCTTAAAAAATGCGTTCAAACAATCGATGTTAAAAAAAAAAGAAAAAAGAAACAGTAATAACGCGTGCCTCATTATAATTCGTATGTCCTTTTTCCTTCACTTTCTCACAAACTTTGGTACTGAAGTGTCTCAAGCCTTTCGATTTATCAATACTGCGAGGAAATTTCCGTATTAATTGAAGATCGCAGGCATAATTACTTGATAAAGATCGTTTGCTTGGTGTGCAGACGAATTAAATATAGGATGTGTGCCTATACGATTAACCGATATATACCGCTAGAACTACCGTAGAAACTGATATAGTGGACCTGCTGATGGAAGCGTCGAAAATCTTCGTGTAGCTCCGGCTCCCTGAAATACATATATGAATAAGAGGGTATCTAAATTTATTTTATGAGAGTTGAACAAAATATTCCATGAGAAGACTTCATGCAATATTTCAATAAATGCCTTCTATGATTCACTAGAGAATATCAGTAACTTCCAATTAATATTTACTAGTTACGTATTTGCTCAACTGTATTTAACTTACAACATAAGTATTCTGACCAGATGATGTGACAGCTCTGCGTGCTAAGTGAGTTATAAGCTGTAATGATGTGTTACTCGTTTCACGTTCATCCATTACTCTTAAAATAATAGATAGAATCAATTTTTAAATACACACAAGAAAAGACCGCTCAAAAAACTGACATACTGACAAATAATGAGAACTGTGAAGGTATATATATCAACCAAATAAGGCTGGAAAAAATGAAACTAGAAAAAAATGGTGATAGATGGCAACACGTTCAAGACGGAATAGCTACCAATAACTTGTTGCTGTTCGACAAAATATTTTCTAAAGTTACAATTGATTTTTTAAAGTCCCAACCTGTTCTTGAAATAACTAGAACTATTTTTCCTAACGAAACTGTCGAGAATAACAGCTAAAGTTGGAAGTATTTAGAACAATAGAACTGAAAAAAAAATAATAAAATCATATTAATAAACATGTCTTAAACACTGTTATCGACATACTTCATATCTACTTTCACTAACATTTAGTACGAAACAGGAAAAAGTCTAAAAATGATAATCAATGATAACTATTAGTGCCGAATGACAATCCGATTTCCCGAAAAATAATTACCGCTTACTACATTAACTGATCTTATATCTCCAATTTTCAAATCAGGTAGGATTAAGGAATTAGAATAGAAGTATAAAACATTCCGGTAAACAACACAGTTAACATACAGTGATACTGATGAGAAGCAATGTCAATAGTGATAATAATAATAGTAATGATAATAACAATAACAAATAATGAATCGGATGAATAGATAAATAATACATTGATTAAATAAATAAAACAGATAAATAAATAACACATCAATTCATAGATAAATAAGTAAATGAACAATAATAATAAATCGGATAAATAAAAGAATATATAAATAAATGAAGGAAATAGAAGACAAATAAATAATAAATACATAAAATAAAATAAGCAATAATACTGACCTTCACAAAAACACCGATAATAAGAATGATAACGACATCGACAGAAAACAATAATGACAAAAATAGAAATGAAAGGCCCAGAAATGAAAATGCAATAAAGATACAAAACAGTAGACGGAAATAAAAAAGCTTTATTGAGTGAGTAACAAACTACTGAAATTTGGTGTTTGCTAAGCACGCAAAAACTCCAATATGTAAAGTGGGAAGCTGAAAAGAGCGAGATGAAAAATAGACAATAGCATGTCTACTCCCGATTGGATTCGCTTACATACGCAGCAAAGTTCAAATAATAGTTCCCTTAAGACTTGTGGCAATAGTTGCAACGAAATAATCCGATTTATTCTAGCTATCAAGAGCTCCGGAACGAGAAGTGTGGACTTCGTAAATTAAAACAACCATATTAGAGCCTCGAGATTTTCACTTAATGTGTCTTACCAGTTACACCTTCGCTTATGTCAAAACGTCCTCAGATTGTTCACTTCACTTTCTTCCGAGAATTTCCATCTTCAAATTACTTGATATTGATCGTTGTTGTCAGTTGTCAATTCGGCAACTGACAACAACGATCAAATAAATATTAGAGGATGGCAATCATTGTGTCATTTTTAATATTTTACAATCCCAAAGGCAGCTTGTCTAGCTCCATATATTACTAATCACATTTCACTGTCGCATAACTATCGCATAACTCATCCATTCTTCCCATTCTTAAAGTCAGTCTTTTCACATCATTTTTCAAACATCATTTTCCAACATTTTCTCTAGCATTTCATATCAGCATTAAACAATCCAAATTATTACCATCTTCCCATCTTTTTATATAAAAAAGCTTCCAGCTTTTTGAAAAAGTGCTATTAAACTTTGCTAAAAGTAAGAGAGAAATTCCGAGAGTGAAAAGAAAATTTAAGAGAGAAATTCCGAGAGTAAAAAGAAAGAAAGTAAAACCTAAAATTCTTGAAGAAAATAAAAACAAAATAGATTTTGACGATTTATTCATTAACTTTGGAAAAACTTTTTAAAAAATAAAGATAAACAATATTCACTTATAGTGAAAAGAAAAAACTGTTGACAGAATTTTCAGTTTAAAAAGAAGAAAACGGAAAATGGAAGATCAATTAGAAAGAGAGAATTCACCAGAAGCATTCGATGCTGAGGACGGAGGTGGAAGCTCAAGTACTGAAACAAACAGTGCAACATTGGAACGTTTACGAGAAATTTTGAAGCATCGCGAATCGACTATTGAAGATTTGCGCCAAACAGTAGCAATACTAAAACATAATATTGAGGAACAACGTGATGAAATTATACGCTTAAAACAGTTTAAACAGTAATATTCATAAGCCGGTGAGTTCATGTCTTCAGGTTTTATGAAAGTGGAAATAATAATTTGTTATCAATAATGCGCTGTTTCCTGATATTATCTGTTATTTTTATTTTCTGATATTACCTGCAGCAAAATTCACCGATCTCATTACCGTTTGAACTTATCAAGATGATCTTTTATCTATGTGATGCCCTTACACGATGTCGCATTTGTTGCATTAATAAAAGGTTTTTTTTTTAAATGAATCTTTGGAATAATAATTACACAAATTATTGTTAGTCAGCAAAAAATGAATCAATTAGTTGATATCAAAGTGAATTTTAAAAGAATTAAATTAGCAAATCTAAGAACAAATTTTGCAAATGAATTAAGCATGATTAGCAAATGTAAGTTTTAAAAAGTGCCAGCTAATGCATGTTGCTAAATAAACTTTATGAATTAAATACTAAGTATATAATTACTTGAAAAAATTTAGATTGGCTGAAGAATTGAGCAGCTGGGTCGACGTTCAGCACCTTTACTTAACAAGAGTACCAATTGAACATGAAGCAAATAAAACCGTTAGAACCATTCTATTCTCATGAGCACAAATGTATTTTATGAAATTCGTTCATAAATGTCCAAGAGAAAACATTTAGGTTGTGATACATGCCTATCAAGCTGTCACCAATTCTCCTGCAGTAGGCGTAATTCGTACCACTAAAGCTATTCCGATGCTCTATAATTTCCGGTCATTTGCTGCGCTTTATAAGAAAATGCATTTATTGCTTTATCCTAGGATTTTAATTCTAATTTTAACATGTCTTGATTTAAGAATTCTTTCACTAAAATATATGAAAATATGCTAATATTTATTTATATACATTTTAACATGAAATCATTAATTACAATGCTTCAAAGACCTATTATTGGCCAAGTAGCTTGATATATTACATTCACTAGATGCAAGGATTGGTCAAGTAGTTTTGTCCATAAAATAAAATTGAGTACTTAATAAATGGTTAAAAAAAATCTTGAGAAGACCAGAAAATAATATTACAGCAATGTGAAAACAATTTTGGTAGAATCTTCAACAATGCGATTTTGGATCGTTGCAATAAGATAACTGCAGAAGAGGGCTTTTTTGCTTTGTTACGAAAATTAGAAACCGTCAAATTATGCAGTATACGAAATAATTTAAGATAAGGAATTTATGATTTCAAAAGTTTTGGCAAAAAACACAAATTTTTGCTTGAAAATTATGCAATCAAATATTTCATTAGAAAAATTTTGCAAATTTTTACATTGATTTTTAGAGTAGATTTATTCTAACTATTCTATGCATGTGTTCATGCATATTCATCTGACACAATATAAATAAAAAAGTCTAAGAGATTTAAATTATATGGAAAAGCAGCAAATATCAAAAAATTTCATTGCCTAAAACTAAAAGTGGAAACTGAATAATTCTGCAACTGAGTGTTTGAAAGTAATAATTATTTTTATCTAAAAATATGATTGATGAATGGAAAATACAGTTCACCAATAGATATAATTGAATTTTTCAGTCTTGTTTATACTCTGAGCGATTTCCTCACATTGCCAAATCTTCGTACGCTCCATATCCGAGAAGCACTAACATTAGCTGATGTTCCACCAGTGGATAAAATCTGCGCTCCAATTGAAGATCTTCGAATTTGCACACATCGAATGCGTATCCGACAATTGCTGACCATATGTCGAGCCTTAGCAACTACTTTGCGACGTTTAGAATTGTTACTTACTGTTATCGTGCCGGAAGGAGCTGCTACATCTGAAGTAATGCATCTATTTTATTTTGAATTTAAAAAAAAAGAACAAAAACTGAAAAAAAAACAAAAATAATGAACATTTGAAATTATATTCTTCATAATAACTTTTGTGTAAGGAAGTGCGCAAGAGAATTTAAAAGTTAATATACAACTAACTAATTTGACCATTGATACGTTTAGAATCGTAGTGCTGCTGTTATAGAAGTAGCAGAAACAATGATTACTATGGAACATTTGAGTCATTTGACGCTTGCACGAGCTTTTCTTAAGGTAAGTTGACAAATAACTAAATTTATAAAATTTCAAATACAAATTTAAAATTAAAACAAGAATTTACTTTTATTTATCTGTATAAAAAAAGCGGAAATTTCAGCCTTCGACAAGCGAACAAATATTTGAGCTCTTAAAAATGTTTCATTCACTGTCAACAATAACATTCGAAGCACTAATTTTAAATGATTTCATACAACTTGCAAATGTTCATCTACCGCCATCAGTATTCCATTTATTTTTCTCAGCGTTTAAAAATCATTTTTTTTTACAGAAAGCTAATTAATCTTCATGAGAATTATCTATTAAAATTTCAGATCTATATTTTTAATTGGCAACAGCAATCATTTTCGTAAGAGCAATACTTAAATAAAACTAGAAATCATAATGCAGTGCATAACATAATAGTTTTGATGATCTCAATGTCATTATTTTGCTCATTAAAGTTCTTTAAAGAATAATACTTGGCAATTTTTCCATAATTTTTAGGTAAAACGAATTGTCGTAATAGAATCAATCAAAATCGATCTCTCATGGTATCCACTTAATTCAGTTTCTATGGAATTCTTTGACGTTTTCAACGATGAAAGAATGCCAGTTAGTTCAATTACTGATTTTAATTTAAAACGCGATTTTCTTTTTCGATCTAGAAAAACTGAAAAATAAAATTAATAAGTTTCAATTACTGATTGTAATTTAAAACGTGATTTTCTTTTTCGATCTAGAAAAACTGAAAAATAAAATTAATAAGTTTCAGATACTACAAGATGTGTGCCGTAAAGTACGACGTGAGATCACGTTCCAGCTTGGCCGTCTTCGTGGATTTGGTTCAGCAACTGTAAATTTCCAGTTGAGTCTTGTACGTATTTTGGCGAATAAGGTGTTACCATTGCGGTTTGGAAGCCGAAGAAACGATTGCCGTGTATTTCTTTGGAAAGAACGTATCCTCACACGTAGAGAATATTTAAAGATGAATGATATAAATATTGATGGGATTATGTGACGTTTACTAAATAAATAAAAAACAAATCAATAAATCATGTCTGTTAAATCAATTAATACCGATTTATCTAATGACAGTGATAGGTCAGGAAGATTTAGGATAAATCTGTCAAAGCAATCCACTATTAACTGGCTTCACTTCTTACAAATATGATTTAAAGCTTCATACCATTGATAATTTGAAGTTTAATGTTTTGTTTTACTCTATACGAGTAAGTGAAAAATTGAAATTCCAATTAAAATCACTTAGCACAACAAATAAAGCGAATTTTATATTAAGATAAGGTACGAATGGAAATATCACTTTCGCATGTAGCAATAAATCTTTTGTAGTTTCATCGTTTTCTTGAAAACTTTCTTGTCGGAAATATGTAAATTTCGCATTTCGATTAATTGTTTTTTTTTTTTTTTTTTTCAAACCATTCTATCTATTTAGAATTTAAATATACAAAGATTGGAGCACAAGTCAATAATAAGTTGATTTGCCAAATTAATTGCTTTGTCGATATATGTGTATGTAATGAATTAGTTAAGATTTTGCTATCCTTATAAATATAACAGGATACTTAGATAGCTTTACTAGGACAAAAATTTGACCATAATTTTTGATGCGTCAATTAGAAATCCTTTAAAGATTTCCATGTTGTTTCACCTCAAACGATAATTTAATATCACAGTTTATTTCCTTCTTTTTTTAAATCTCTTACCAAGTTAGGGTGACTATTTATTAAATATATTTAATATTTATTAAAAATTTTTCTGAGATTCTATGTTCAATTAAGTTCAACAATGTGAAAAGAATATTCATTCAAGCATGCCATGCACCATGCATTCATAACGATTTATCCACATTTTTAAAATTCTATGTAACAGTGAACTCACCACTATAAAATCATTATAAAATGAAATAATCTGTCTTAGAGTTTAAAAATTTAAAAACTCCTAAGTAGTTTAGCTGCTTTATTGTGAAAAGATCGACAAAGTGATTCGAATGTTCATCGTAAATACTTAAAACAATTATAATACTTTTATAAATGATTAAAACAATAATAAAGTTCAAGATATCAAAGCAAATTGCTAGAAGTGTTACTGGTTTTCCGGCTGAACCAAATTTAGAAGTTAGCAAAATTAAAAGTTAGTAAAGAATGGAAGGAATAATTGATTTTTGATGATATTTTAAAGCGACACACATGTTCTTTAAAAATGACTAGCTTATTCAACAATTTCAAGGATCAGATAACGTCATTTAATATTCCTATCAGCGATAATTAACTGTGATAAGTAATATTACTTGGATATATCGCTTTTATCGATTTTTGAAAAAGATAATTACAATTTTCACAACAATATTGAGTTGCTCCAATCAGTTTGGAAAAGCCAACCTGAAATAACGATAGCAGCAATCAATTTTTGTTTCACTGCGATCAGAAAGATTGCATACAGAGCAAACAAAAGCAACAATTAGTGATGAAACACATAGCCAAACCAAATCGAATTTGTTCGGAACTAATTCATGAAAATGTATCGAAAGAGTATGAAATGACAATATTCGCTGTTGCAGTAATTATCCACCATTGCCAATATATCGTCGTTTTTTTCTTTGCCGACGGCTGATTTAATTTAATAAAGTGGTAATGTATGAAGATAGTTAAATATTTTCTACTCTATCATTTTATATATTCCCTTTTTATTTTTCAAGTCTACAAATGCACTTTTTCCGACATTTTACATCGAATTAATTAATTAATTGCTATACCAAATAGCAAATATCTCTCCTTTATGCAAAAAGAGAAAACTTTATTAAATCTAAAACTATTTTTTCCCTTTTTTATTGTGTACCCTCTTCCAATTCCCATAAAAGTTCTTTGTAATTTATTTGTTGACAGCTATTAATTGTTAGCTGTGCAAAATACACAAAACAATATACACATAAAAAACTTATCGATATTCCTTCCAATAAGTAAAAATGATTCGTATCATTAATATAAAAAAGAAATGGATAGTTAAACATGAAATATGAAAAACAGTTTAGTTAAATGTAGTCATTATAAAAAATCAGTTTAATTATTTCTAAACTGATTTTTTCATATTTATTTTCATTTATGATTTGGTACTTTTAACAGAATACTACATATATGATCGGAACAGAGGGAATACAACTGTTATTTTTTTTACATATATGGATGTTATAAAGATAATCATATTATGCAAGGTGAGTATTATATACATACTATACAAGGGTAAGACGATATTTCTAATTCTCACCTGGTTCACGGAGCTTATGTCAACAACGGAGCTTATGTCAATAAAAAATATGCCGCGTCCAACTACATACCCCAAATGAAAGTTTTCTTTGAGAAGCTCTATTTTGATAAAAGGACAAAACAAATTGTCACTAAAATACGAAACTAAATAATGTGGCGAAATAAACCATTTACTAGAGGCCAAATTTTCACCTTAAAATACAATTGTTCATGCTAAAAACTCATCTCATCTAGAAATCATCATTCTATATCATTCCATGAAATTTTTTAATGTGAAAATTCACTACGTTTAATCTACAAAATCTCTAAGAATAATACAAAATTAATATGACCAATTCAGAATGCCTTCAAAAATTTTCTTGACTTTTAACATAGAGTGAGAAAATAATATAGAGTGACTCAAAATTTTTCCTCGAAAATTAAATAATGGAAATTAATTTCGATTAGCTCCAATATTCTTAGGAAAAAGTTAAAAATGTCTAAATACAACTTGAAGCGTGATACATAACACGATCAATATCGAAAGCTAAATATATGGAAAATAAAAACAGCACCAAATGCAGCCAATAAAAAATCAAATAATGCTGATTGTATAAATAGCTATAAAAATAGTGCTTTTTCATTGTTTAAATATTACAACTATTCTGAAAATAATTAAATAATAGCTTTCTGAAATATCTATTTCAAAATAAAAAATCGCCTCATTATAGCGAATAAATTAAATCGCCTCATTATAGCGAATAAATTAAATTGGTAATTCTACTACATGCATGAATGTAATATTAGCAAATTGTATTCAAATAAAATTTGATTAAATTAAAAATCGTTTTATTGCTTATTGCACTAAATTTTAAATGGAAATAGTTTCTACTAAAAAAATGCTTACATGTATAAAAAACAGCTAGGAAAATCATGGAAATACTGAGCCAATGATTTTGAAATTGAAAACAATTGACGCAGCCCAATGATTTTGGAAATTGAAAACAATTCTAATATTTATTTTTCTACTACCTCATTTTCTTATTCTAAAAAGAACAAAAAGAACAAGAAGAAATGAAATGTCCCACATATTTAGCAATTATATAAGCCTACTATCTTATAAATTCTTAATATCTTATCTCATTTGTCCAAACTATTTCACTCTTAATTACTACAATTATTATTTTAATGAAATATTACTACAAACTTCATTAGCTGTCAAATTTTCTACTATTTAACTCTTATAAAAATTAGTTATCTCTTCGTTTTATCAGTTTCCATTATCTTCTAATCACAATTTAACAAAATTCCTCAACCTCGGCAATATATTATTTCTCACACCTTAACGTTCCTTAATTAAATAATATCTAATTCGGTTCACAAATGTTCGAAGTTGTAAGAGAGAAGAGAAATTGAATATAGATTTTTCAGATTATTAAATAATTCTAAGTCTACTATTAGCATAAGTGAATATATGTTTCTCAGATTTATGATAATGTTTATTGATTAAAATGTTAATATTTTTGAAAAGTTACCTCGAAAATTCGTAAAAGTAGGAGCGTTCCAAATGCACAAATCTTCCAGCATAATGAAGTGCATCCGGGAAATGATTAGTGTTACCCGAATGATCAGGATGCCATGAATGTGATTACATGATTGATAGATGGAACATCAAGTTCACTTAATCCCAGAACAAAAATATTTAAATATTTGAAAATATTTAAAATGGATGAACTCTTATTTATTGAATAGAAATAAATTTGCTAGCACACATCTATAAATGTTAACTCTCATTATGATGTACTATAAAATTTATTCATTAATAGTATTTTATCACTATAATTCCTTTTTTTAGAAATTTGGAAATAAAAGATGCAAAAAATATCTGAAAACGGCAATTCTATCGGGGAAAATCAGGATTTGTAGATTTCTTGAAACATATCAAAAATCTTTTGAAAATTAAATTAAATTAAATCAGAATGCTTTGATTTATAAAAATGACTAAATCTTTGATTTAAACAGATGATAAAACAATATATTTTTTGATTTAAACAGATGATAAAACATGGAAATATGAAATTAGTAAATTTCATATTTCTGATTTTAAAAAATTCAAGATAACTTAAGTATTGAAAAGAAGTAGTCGATATTTTAATAAAATATTGACATCAATTTTTGTAACCAAAAATTGAAATTGATTAAAAGAGAAGAATGAAAGATTATTGCTTGAAATAATGCAAACAAGGTATACAAAGCAAAATAAAATTTACTGTACAGTGGTATTTATGATAAATGCAAAGTTGATCTCTACTAGGCTTATTATTATCATTTTAGGGTTCCATTGTGTAGAACTAGAAATGGTTACGAATTCTGTCCACAATTGTGGTTGATAATGGAGAAGAGATTCTGATAGACAGTGGGCTCTCTACTGATATCAACGAGCGCACTTGATATTGCAAAGTTTGTTTAACAAGAATGCACTACTATTAATTAATTAATTATGATTATCTTCAAAATGTACATTTTCATTTTCAATATTTTCAAATATTTAAATATTTTTTTGCTCTGGGATTAGTGAACTTGATGCTCCATCTATCAATCATGTAATCACAACTCATGGGCATCCTGATCATTCGGGTAACACTAATCATTTCCCGGATGTTTATTTATTGAAAACACCAGGTCATACATCTGATGACATTTCTTTCTCATAATACTATTTTTTGGTATCATCATTGTTTCCGATAAGATCAATATT